ACTGTACACTATACTAGGTGCTACCCTCGGTAGAAGTGTTTACTTACTAACTTGTTTACTTACTTACAAACACGTTCATCTCTACTCGCTTCCTAAACCGCGGAGAAGTTCCATAAAGAATGCAAAAGGAATCACGATCAGAAAACAGTTACATAGCACTCACCATCTCGAGGAAGAGATGTCGCTGAAATTACGAGTAGGTGTTAGGAAAACAAGGCAAATTCCCTTCATCATGAAACTAGTGAGGTTGAGAAAAATCTAAAGAAAGACATGAAGACAGAAGACAAATGAGCATATCGGTCACACTGGATACTCAATTAGTTAAGTTCGGAATTTCATTCTAAGCTAAGTGATTTGAGATGCCAGACGCTTTAGCCCAAAGAGGAATGGGACTAGACATGGCCGTGGCATGCACAAGACAGTCTCGTCTCATTTCCTACTCGGCCATAGAGTCCTTTAGATTGCTAAACATTCGTCTATGTGACCCTTACAGAAAAACCCGCTTGCCAGCAGTTTATATGCAGGCTACATTTTACGTATCTCCTTGAATGAATTTATAGGGTGTGCCAATTTGGCGGATTGCCATGAAATAGACCAATTTCGATGGTATCAAAATTCTGCCTAGCACAATAGACCTCAGCACTAGGCTCTGGGGAATAAACCCCACAAACTCTGTAGTTATTTGTGCTCCCCCTCTCTTTCTGGAGGGGCAGGAGGGTATACATTTGGCTCAGATATTCATTTCAGTGTCGGAATACTGGCTTGCATTCATCTTGGCATGGAGATTTTACGAAAGCTTGTTGGGAAACTGGCCTCTTTGCAACGCGGGACATAAACGTTGAACAGTTATTTTATGTCTTGAGGGGATATGGTGTTTGGAGTGACGAAAATAGTGCTTTTTGTGACATCCTGATGACACATCAGGTATGACACATCATCGCGACCTTGAGAACCTGGCCTGGCTACCAAGCCTTTTACCTCCCAGGCTTCTCGTCCAGTGAAAAGCGCGCTCGCAACTGGCGGAAAAATCTCCACAAATTTTTGTACAATATTCGTTCCTTCCATCTTTGGTTTGGGTGTTAATACTTCAAAAGAGAATGGTCAAAATAGCCATTCAAGAGATGAACACGACAGACTGGAAGAGGCTAAAGAAGTGACTTTGAACTAATAGGCGGTGACGGTTGGATTATGTTCAAAGAGTCATTTGCATAATTTATGTAACCTATCAAATTCCATTTCCTTAGCAGCGAACAAGCGTCTCCAATAGATCGAAAGCCAAACGTCAAAGATGGCGACATGGAAAATATTTTGGATTACCTTGGTATTTGTTGCCATCCATTTCCATGCGATAACTTGGGCAGCAAATGTGACTCTTTTTAAGCCTATTACAGCAAGCGCGACTTGTGGTTTGTCCGGAGTGGAAGACTATTTCAGCGTTACGGAAAGGAACAAACCTCCTCGACAGAGAGACGTGTCTTACTGCGATGCATCAAATGCCAGTCTTTCGCATAACGCATCACAAATGGTGGATGGCGAGTTAGCCACATGGTGGCAGGCTCCGAATTCTATCGATAACGTCTCGATCACCATTGATCTTCGAGGAGAACATCAAAAGGTAAGTGAGAAGCTTCGATCCAGTGAAATATTTTATATTCTGTTTGTAAAATGCAGTTGTTAAAACCGAGCTTCGATTGCATAGCTCTGCGTAAACACTTCTTTGTCTTCTCAGTAGGGCTGCTTCGTTGTTAACTTTGTCATCTGAATGAGTGATAGCAAGAATTAAGAACGCCATTCAGGTTGTTGATCGCGACAGTTTTACTCATCTATCTTTTGATTTGATCACCCATTCTGTACCGTTACTTTCAAATTCCTCCGTCGCTAAATTGTGTATGGCTGGTGGACTCAGCCACTCAGCTTTTATAGCTAGTTAAGATTAATTAGTCTATTCCATGTAGCGATTTGTACATTCTAACTTATCTCCTTTTATATGCCAATGTAATTTACATTTAAACGGGTTGAATATTCCATAGTATTTTTGGATGACTATTTTGACTTCAGTTATAAGTGAGTATTTCTTTGTCTAGGTCCCTAACATGCATAAATCAGCGAAAATTAATTATTTAAAAAAAATCAATTTCAGTCAGTTAGTGAACTGACGTTGATTGTTGTTGGTGTGTGTGATGTGACGTTTCTTGTAACTTTGTTATATCTCCCAATTTTTTTGGGACACAAGTTGTAACATCCCTGAAGTGAACATTTTTGTTGCAGTAAGCTAAGGGGATATACATTATTTAATGTTTAATGCAACTTCTCTTGCAACAGCGCTATAAAATTGTGAGACAAGTTGGAAGCAAAATTACCTTGTGTAGCTGTACAGCTCCCTAACAATCCAGATTCTCCAAAAAGTGGGGTTTTTTCAGGGTCCACAGATACCCATCTGGTTTTAAGCCTGATGCCAAGAGCGCTGGGTAAAATAAATCAGTTCATTTTGTTATTTTGCTCTACCAGTTTTACTATGCAAACAAGCTGGTGATTCGTTTTGGTGAATACTTCCGTCCTGGTCAACTTGCCTTCTACAAGTCCAGCGATTATGGTCAGACTTATGAGCCGTGGCATTACTTTGTGTCAACTGCCGATCCTAATGAATGCCAGGACAAGTTTAATAGGCCAATTATCAACAATCCAGTTACAGTAGATCAGGTCCTTTGTATGGTGTATACAACTCCACAAGTTGATCGAAATGATGAGGTATGTATTTATAATCATTTCATACTGAAGATTTTTCCATTCATCACTAACAATTTTTTTGGTTCAGTCGTCAGTGAATTATTATACCACATTCAGGGCTTTCATTAATTAATAGGGCTCCATGACCTGTAACTCCTGTTATGGCTGAGAATACTTGACCAACCCTTGAATGTTGTAGACTAACAAGTTTTCAAGTGATACTGTTGTTGATACAATTCACCCTCAAAGCAATAAGTTTGCTACGGTGTAAAGATCAACATTGACATTATGAAATCATACACTGTAGGGATAGACAGTTACTAACACCTTGTCAGTCTTCCGCAAGAAATTGTTTGCTTATTTTTATTTTTGCAGGTCAATTTAATTGATTGTACATGAAAAATAGAAATAACGAAAAAAGCAAACAGACAAACATAAAAAGGTCTCTTTCTTACAGCATGAACTGAGAAATAAGTTAGTAAGCTTTTATCTCTCACTTTGGGGAAAGAAAAGCCTTTTCAACTTAAGCACATTGAAATGGGTCATACTTTAGGATATGATAGGTCTTTAAAAATGACCAATCACATAATGTATACTATCTGTAAAAGTATTTACTATTGTTAAACTTGGCATTTACATGTGATTGTAAAAAAACTCCCTGGCAGGTAGGTTTATCTCACTGATATTCAGTTAATCTCTCTGTAGAAAGAAGCTGAGGTGTTTTTTGTCTTTCAGGTCTCCTTGTTTGTGGTTGGTCCAAGAGGAGATGTTATGAATCCTTCTAATGAACTGCTGGTTTGTTCTGATGCTGATTAATGTCCTGTTGAAATTTAATCATGATAATTATGACATGCATTAGATTTAAGTTTTGACACATGTACTGTAAATCCTTGAATTAGTGCCCAGAGCGCTCTTTTCAAATTTAGGAGAAGACGAGGAGCGCTTAATTGAGGAGGGCGTTTATTTACTTTTTCCCAAATTGTGGTCAGATACCATTGGTGTTTTTGTAATATACATGTATGTATGTGTCAGTCCCTCAGAAGTCTCAGAAGGATATTCTGGCTCTCTTGAACTACATGTACGTGATATAACCCCTTTAGCTAGTCTAGGCCTTTGAAGGAGTTGCTTTGAAGGAGATCACTTGCTTGTGATTGAACATGAACAAAACTAATATATC